GCAGTGATTCAAGCTCTTCATAATGGAGATTTTCTTTTAAGTATGAAAGAGGAATAATTCTATTTATTAATATTTGTAGGGATCTTTTGCTAGGAAGAAGTATTATGACTGGTCAAACTTCAACAGTCTGTATTTACGTGTCCGTGGCGATGGCAGACCTTGGATGGTAAATATTTATACAGACCCTTACTTCTCCCATCAAAAGGATGACCTGTACAACTACTTCATGTTCACCCGAGGAGGACCGTACTGGGAGGAAATAAAGGTAAACGAATGAGTCTTTCAGTAAATCTGAAAATAACTCTTCTAAATACATGCTGTTCCAGACATTTCTGAAGCAAAGACTGTTTAAGGACCCTAGCTTTGTGGAATGAAAATTCTTTCAGCAATCATCATTTTTTTTGCCCTTGAAATGCTTAGCCCATTCAGCAGTGTTAACCTGTTTCTGTGGTGTATCCCAAGCCAAAGGACATGTTTGTATAGGAAAGTCCCAGAGTTATAATTTACTGGACTGTGGGAGCATAAACTGTGAAAATTAAATAGCATAGTAACACTAATTTATATTAATATATTAATATCTTGATATCTATTAGTATTTTAAATAATCTACCATGTGTTTTCCTAAGTGTCTGTTGTTTGCTGTTACAGGAGGCAAACCTTTGTACTGGGCTGATGCTATACATATGTAATGTATATTATACTATATCCTGTACTATAGTATGGGATTATATGTACTATAATACATGCATTATGACAAATGTATGTATATATTCAAATGTAATTAACTTATTTAAAAAAACAAACAAACAAACAATACATTCTACTCCTATCTGAAATTGGCCTCCTGAGCTGAGGGCTCATTAGTACAGATTAACAAAAAAAGAGCCACCAAAACCAGAATATCTTGGTTGTCACACCTCTGTGTGGGGCTGTACTGGGGCTCAGGTGTACCTGCCATTCTGTACCTATGGATGTCTGGATGCTGTGGGTTATCTTTTTTTAATTGGAAAACAGAACAAGCAGCCAGGCAGGGTGCATACTTAGCATATAGAGCGTGCACTGAATAGATGCAGCTACTGGAGCTTTGCAGGCAGTGCCAGGAACTTTCTATGCAATAACCATTTTATCTGTGATAATAAATGGACTTAAGTTGATGTAAGATTTGTACCCTGCAATGTGGTTTGCCAAACTTGGAGTCAGTTGGAGCCTCAGAGGTATGTGGGTTGTTAGTTACAGCTTTGAATCTGACATGCAGTAACGTTGGCAAGAAGTGGGAGTTTCAGCTCTTTTCTGAGGACACTGAAGTGTGTCACTGCTGGCCTGCGTGTGTTCCTCGCCCACACCAACCAGTTCTCTTTTCCTGTCTCTTGTCACAGCCCTCCTTTCTTGTTCTGAGTTCAATTCATTGTTACATTTTTGTGAACTGTTTTGCTAGAACGCTGATGCCTTTGAATGAAATTTGCAGATTGAATGTAGATGAGCTGTCGGTGGGCTTATAATGCCTCCTAGAGCTTTCATTAATTTGTTTAAGCTGACATTGTTGGAAGGAGATATTCTAGATGTGAATGGCTGTCTTCCATGCTTCAGCCTCTCCTGTGTGCTGGCTGGCTAGAATCCAGCTTAACAGCTGGAAACAGCTGCCATAGGGCAATGTGGTGCTGGAGCTGGCAGCTCGTGGCTAATGAGTGACCTGCTTCTTTTTGCTGACTCTTTGGACCCTGGAGTGCTGGTACCAGATTTGGTGTTATTTCATTTTCTAAAGCAGTTGGTTTTTTGTTTATTAGTTTTTGTTTTTTTTTTTTTTCTCCTTGGGACTAAAGTCTATTTTTCTTTTGTTTCTGCTGTCAGATTCCGTTCTCCAAATTCTTTCTGTCCAGTCGAGGAAGAGTACAGGATGACCAACATCCTATCTGGTTAGACAAGGCAAGTTTTCTATAAGCTTAATCTGCCAGAAACATACTTTGAGATTGTATTGTCACTGTATAGGTAATTGAGAAATCCTTGGGATATTCAGTGGTTTTAAATTTAAAATTCAGTAAGAGTCTCTACTTGTTTTAAAGTACTTATTCCTGTGTGCATACCTTTGCATGCAAATTATCCTATTTTGTGATTTCAGTGTCAATTGACTTCAAAGTAGCTCCAAAGATATTTTTAAGAGATTTAAATAACTTGTCTGTTTAAAAAATAAATAGTTTTTTTTAAAGGAATGATCAAAGTGACTGAGAAGTCTGAAATGCAATTTGGCACAGTACTGCCAAAAATAATAAAAGCAAGCATGTATCACAGGCAATGTATCTAGGGATTAAGAAGGGATAAATTCTTCAGAATACAGAGTTTAGATGACTCATGCAGTCACCTGTAACAGAAAGCTTTAAAACTTCTGTAGCCTCCACAAGCCAAGAGGCTGACTGCAGAGCTCACTTCTGGAGAAGATAAAGCAATTGAAACCTTACAATTAATCAGAGGAGCATTACACTACTCTATCACCTTGGCTTTACTCTATTAGTTATTTAGCATGCATGTGCAACTTATGTTTATTCTCAATTCTCAGCAAATTCTCAGCATGCAGTTATTCAACTTGAATCTGACACATTCCTGATGTACAGCAGTCCTTAAAGTCATGGGTATGGATCAGACTTGCACTTGCAGCACAGATTAGGGACACCAAGAGCTTTGTAGGTGTTCAGCTACTTATCACCCAACTTGGTTTGAGAACTAGTAACACTGGAGTCTCTGAAAGGTTTGTGATGGACAAGAGCAGAAGGCTTTCAAGGAATATGCTACAGGCTAATGCCTGAGCCCCAGGGATTTGTATGGAGTTTATTACAATTAGAATGAAGCTACTATTTAATAAATTAGTGTAGTAATGGAGAATGAATGAGGGATATTCTTTTGAAAATTGCTATTGAAAGTGGAAAACTGTGGCTAAATAAGTCAGTGTATGATACAAAATTCAGTAACAGTTTTGTGTTTTTCAAAATGTTTGCTTTGGGGGCACTTGCACGTTGCACCAGACCTCTGTCTTGGAATGGAAGTTCCTTCCATCCTTAATTATGTTCTATTCATGTTTCCCGCTCACATTAGAACTGTTAAAAAAAAAAAGTGTGACAGAAGTATGCTAATTCATCTTATTGTGACTTCATATGATATCATCATATATCATATACCTCATATCATGACAATATCCAGACCTCAAAGGATGAAAATCCTAGTATTGCACTAGGCTCAGGCCATTCTCAATAATGTTTCAACTTAATGGTAGAGAAGCAACTGTGAATCCCATTGGAGTCTGTATTAAAAAATATGGTAATAAAGTATTCATGGCTTTGGAGATACTGGTGCATTTTGAGCAGATACCCCTTTTTTACGCTGAACTGTTGTGAACTATTTGTAGGATGTGGAAGTGGTAGGTACTGGTTGTAATGTTATTTTATGATGTATTCTAACGTATGCATTTCCTTATTAGATCAGTACCCTTGGATTCACACTGGGAGATAAAGTAGATGGTCCCTTCCAGCTGGAGATTGATTTTATCGGCCTGCTAAACGATAGAGCTCACACAGAAGAATTTGCCTATGAAACATATGAAAGGAATCCTAGAATCTAAGTTGGTCTTGTGTCCTTTGGAACATTCATCAGCTGCTTACTTAATTTTTAAGCATTTTATAAAGTGAGAACATCCTTCAAGTTGTTATAATTATGTAAACATTAAGTGGATGAAGTGTTGACTCAGTAATCTGACTAGACTGATGCTGTTGGCATTGTCAAGCTGCCAGCAACAGGCTGAGAGCTTGTACCTTCAGGAGCTGGAATACAGCCTGATGGGAGCTGCTGTACATCCTTACTGTGTATTAACTGCTGTCTGGGTACATTTTAACTTTTGTCCTGATCTTTAGGGAAATAAAAGTATTTTGTTAGTGTGGTGTTAGCTTTTTGTACTCAGTTTGATTTTCTAATGCACTATTTATAGGGCTTGAACTCGATAGGTTGTAACTGGAGAAGTTATGGGGTGAATTAATACAGTGATAATATTGCTTAAGAGTGTCACAGGACTTGAATAGGATTTGAAATATGTCAAACTTGAACTTCTGGCACCTGTAAGGAACTAAAAGAAAAACCTGCTGTTGCCAAGAGCTGTTTGTAGCACTGAAGTGGATTTAGCTCTTGAGTTATGGGTGATAAGAGCTACAAAGCAATAAGATTAAGCTGTTAAACAGAAGTAAGGCTCCAGGAGGAGCTGTGGGAGACCTGTCACTGTCAATTCCCTAGAGATGTACCTCAGCTTTATTAACACTGCTACCCACAGCCTATGGCCCAGGAAGAGCAGGTGATGCTTTTCTGATGTATTGTTAGTAACTGTGTTGCAGAAGGAGGCACAGTGTCAAGAGGTGATGCAAATGCTCAGTTCCCAACCCCTTTTTTTTGTCATTCTCAGTAATTTAAGAAACACTTCAGAGAACAATTACTGAATGGTTTCATTTCAGATGTCACAGTCTAGTCAAAGCCCTGACATCATTTAGCTCCTTAACTTTGCCTTAAAAATACTAACCTTAGCTCTGCTTTATGTGAGACCACAACAAAGCAAGTTGATGCTATCTTGCATCAGGAGTTTCCTCTTGCACAGATTTGGATTAAGAGCAAAAGGGGTGCAAAGTTTGTACTTTCTAATGGTATCAGAACACTAATGCATTCATGAAAGGGTATGCAGGCAAGTCAGTACAGAAACAAACCTGTTCAGAGATAACTGAGCAACGTGCAAACAGAACTGGTGCTCCACTAAGGAGGTAGTCACAATAGATAACTGGTAATAAACAACATATGTACAAAAAGTTTATTTCCCCCCCCATTTGGTTTATAAAAAAATTAAGCCTTATATTTCAGCATTTAATATAACAGCACTGAAGTATTTGCTCACCTAGTATTTTTGAAGTACTAGGTATTTGCTGAGTTACCTTTCCAGTCACTGTTTCATCTATAACACATCCAAATAGCTTTTGTGCTTTTTTTTTAATAACATTAGTTTTCGCATTTATGGCATTTAAACATCTCACTCTTCTTAACATCTTTGAAGTATTTCAATTGGTTTTTTTAATTATCTGTTTATTCTATAAAGGACCAAGCCCAACCATATCTGATCTAAGCATCCAGTACTAGTTTGTAAAGCCACTTTTCATCTATGACCTTACTTTAAAAAAAAAAAAAAAATCACAATTCTGCTATGCCTTGTAGTTTTCTGTAACCTTCGTAGATTTCCAGAAAGCATGTGTATTTCTTTCCCTGGAGATTCCCTACCATTTCACAGAGCTATAATAAGACATGCTACAAGTTGTAAGGATCCACTTGGAAAACAGGGCAAGCAGATATCTCAATTCCTTTAATTGACCAGTGGAATGTTTTGAAGCTTGCAATCCAAACTATTCATTCTAGTGGGTAACAAACATTTTGATGAAATCTGCAACAAGTTATTAGGAGGCTCCATGAGCATCTCTTTTCTACTTGCATTTTCTCCTTTAGCATCTTTTAGTTACATTAGATACATAGCATGATATATAGCTATGTTAGAAAAATATCAGTAACCAACTAGAGAGTTCTGCAACTAGAGAGGTTCTCCAAGGAGATGAGAGTTCTAAACATTTAAGAGCTTAGAAGCTGACCGGTAAAACATAATGCTGAGATGCGTTATAAGATCTTATTTGGTCATCTGTGGATTCTACTAGCTAATAAACAACCTGACCCATACTGTGAAGTACAGACAGCACAAGTATTTACATGAGAGAAACAGTATTTACAGGTGAGATCCTGGCTATTTCTGATTTTACCTAACCCATAGATAGTCCTCTACGGTTTCCAAGAGCCTGAGCTTTCTTCTTTTTTCTCTCCTGCTCATGCTTCTCCCGCCTGTCTTCCCTGAAGAAGAAAAAGGAAAGAGAGCATTTCACATTACAGTAAGAGCAAAAATAGAAGCAACCTCAGGAATATTAAGTTAACTAATGCTTAATACCTGTTTTAACAGTGTGTGACATTAGCCATGCAAAAGAAAACTGTTCCAGTTCAGACATTAGTCTGAATGTTTAGATTCAATTGAAATACTTCAGCTTAAACGTACAGTTCTAACACTCAAGGTAGCAACTCATCAATACCCAGTTTCTTTTGAGATACATCTCCCAGTGCTGGGATTGATAACTTTTCAGAGGAAGAGATCTATTAAGTCCATAGCTGCTAGATAGGTATTGAACTACAGAATAAATACAAAAAGCATTCTTTCCTAAACTGTATATTTTAATGCTCAGAGAGATAAATGAGTTATCATCATGTTATTTTAAATGACACCATTCATAAAAAGCTAGTGTTGTACTGACCTTGTCTGGAGATGTGGCTGTTTGTAGTCTCTCTTATGTGAAATGACACTGCTGTTGACAGACTTCCTTGGGGGAGCATTTTCCTTAAGTTCTCCCCAAGGTTTTAGCCGTCCTACAAATTAGAGGCAAAGAGAGGACACTGAACTACTACAGCTTAGCAACAGTGTGCTTAACAACTTCTTGTGAATTTTACACTAGCTAGCTTGTCCTTGCTGGTTTCCTTCGAGACGAAATGCCTCTTGAAACTGCGTAATACATTAACTTCATCAGCCCATTTCTTATGAGCAGTTTTCCAGGTAGCAGTCTCTATGCAACAAACACTTCAGATGTTTTGCTTTTACTAGAAAAGTGCACTTTAAAGCAAGCATTATTGTGTACAGAATTATCCATATATTCAATGTAATACAAGAATGTTTATTCCTTTATTTATGAAACTTTTGTTAGAGATTTTTTCTCTAGTAGGGAGGGAGGCTCTTAGAACACACTTAATAGAACTTTCACATCAGTGCACAAACTATGTGGAAATCTCAAGAAAAAGGGTAACAAAAGAAAGCCAATTCAAACCACAATATAGAAAGTTTGCTCAGTGGCTTATTTTATGAACGTTTTGCTATAAATAACACTACCAATGCATGATCACAGTACCTTTGTGTGGTTGATACCGAAGTGGCCTTGAAAGACTTGCTTTGAGATCAAATATCTTCTTGGTGCTTGAGGGTTCTGCAGACTGAGCTGCGAACTTGAACGGGGTAATAGCTACAAAAGGCATCAAGATATCATACTTACTAATGATAGCAGGAACATTGGTGTACAAAGCAACTTAGGAAATGTCTGAGGACCATGTGACAACTGTCAAGATTAAAGAGTCATTAAACACTGCCTTCTACCACTGAAGACAAAATTGCAAACAGCTCACTGGCAAGAGGAAGCTTTCAGAGATGGCAGAAGTCGTGAAATACCTTTTTGCTCTGATTTTAGGTAGCATTCTGGTAAGCAGCAGATCTGCTACACATCAGGTCAGTTGTAGTCATTCTCACATTAGTTCAGAATCCTTGGATTCACAGTTCACACTGTAACTCTTACTTTACTAACATTTAAAAGCACTCAAAACACTTTATGTCATGTTAGTAACTTCTTACTGTTGATGCAAGAGGAACAGCCTACAGCCATGAGTAGCTAAGTGAATTGGTTATGTGGCAACGCATTAAGCTTCTGATCTGCTCCACACCATTATGGCAGCAGCTCCACAGCCATTACTCAGCAACAACCAGTCTTGTGCTATTAACCCCATCTGTGCTGAAACCAGGGCATGGGAAGGGTGCAGTGCAGTGCCTGCTCAAGGAACGGCAAATAAGTTCACACATCTTGATACACTGGCTAAACAGTCCTGTAAACAGCAAAAAAAAATAAAAAAATAAAAAAAATGCAGCTATGCTTTCCATTTTGATAAAATAACTGAGAACAGGTCTCAAGACTGCAAAAAAATTATCAATCTTTTGGTCTATCTGCACTTCCATTTTCAGTCAACGTAAATATATGTTCTGTAAATTTTCAAATGGAACGGATAAAGTTGCAATCAGATACTCAACTTGAAACTGATCGTGTCTCTGCTGGATTTCTGCATGCACTTTCTTACCAGAGAGAAATACCTCTGACTTCACATCATGTCTTATTCATGTCATCGCTTTTTGGCAGTAAACACATTTGTGAACAACTGTTCAAGGATGAAGCATAAGAGTAAAATTTCATCAGAAATCTGATGAACACCTTGACAGCTCACTAGGAAGTACAGCCTCTGAATGGGGCTGATGCAGTAGTTTAGCAAGAACAACATCCACTGGTGTTTTTTCTTTTGCTCTCAGTTTTTATGTTTTAATAAAAATATGAAGCATTTAAATGTTTTGTTACTGACGCATGTTAATTATAGTATATATTTTACAAGGGCTGCTCCAAAAGTAATGCTTCCTATTTTATTATGTTGTCCAGTAATGTCAGATGTGGATGTTGGTTGTATAGCAACAGAGGTCAAATCCTCCCACCAATATTCCATTACTTTCTGTCGTTGCATGACAGATGGCAGCAGAGGGGCAGTCTGACAAACTGGTGTCTGACATGGAAGCACATATGAAGCAAAGGTGTGGAAATGAATTCCTCCTTGTGGAAAAAGCAGCACACGTGCACATTCATTGATGCTTGGCTGAATGCTTATGGAGGCCAAACAGCAGCTGTGAACACAGTGAGGCAGTGGGGTGGAGATTTTTTTAAAAAAAACATGAGCATAGCATGTAGATTCTTGTTCACTGCTTGCAAAATGCAGAGCAAACGGTGGTGATTATGTTGAAAAATAGCATTTTGTAGCTGAGAATTTGCTCTTTGCTACTGTGCTCTTTGTATCCATTGAGGTTTCAATGGAATTAAATAGGTGGCATTATCTCTGGAGTTATCTACATGTATGCAGCCCAACGCATTTCCTTTTCACTCAGTGTGGCCAAGGCAAGCCAGAAGGTTGGACATTCATGCTCTAAGAACATGTGGCCTTTTTTCTTCCATGCCACTTAACAACTTGCACTAAACTTGTAACCACAGTTCTGTAGCCAGAGATGAATGTAATATGGCTTATTCAAACTGATTTTATGCTGAGGTTTAAGTTATGACTTAGACATTAGTTCCTCAGCTCAGCTGCTTAAGGTGCCCCAAACCATGTAGTGAAAACAAGATTTTATAAGTTTTACCCTTATCTGTTTTTAAAGATGAAAGACACTGAAATTTTCCTAAATTTATTTCTGTTCTTTTAGGATAGTAATTTTTACTTTTACTGTAAAAACTGGGATACCAAAACAGACTTCCCTAAAATGACTAAGCAATACCATATACAGCCCCATGCATTTTTCTAATCTCCTTCAGAGGAAATTGATTATTTCAATGTCTCTGAATATTTGTTTGGAAAAAAAGTGGATTTTCACATTTAAGGAGAAGAAACAAACAAACAAAAAATGCAAGAAAACATCAGCAGTGGGACCTCCAGCTGCCTCCCTAACAACAAAAAAAAATCAGTATTGTCATACAGCAAGACAGGGGTTAAGATCTTAAAGCTGATGAGCTGATGTACCTCGTGATGCTGGGGCATCAGTTGCTTTGCTGTTGCAGATTGCTAATGATCAAAAGACTTATTTTCCCTACAGACAGGGTTTTATAGGATTCCATACTAACTTTTTTTGGATTCCATACTAACTAGGATTGCTGAGGTGATAATATCAGATTGTCTTGAGATCTGTGCACAAGGAGAATGAGACCTCTGAGAAGACATCAAGCACAGGTACAAGGAGAAACATGCATTGAAGACATGTCACATGAAGCTTTTGCTATGTGGTCCACAACCTTTTTTTTTTTTTTTTTTTTTTTAAATCCCTCACATTCTATATTAGGCTTCTCTGTAAGTGGTTAGGTATTGAAAAGTCTTTGCACTAACTCTGTGTTTAAATCTTAGCTGCTGAGGTGATAATCAAGAAACTGGAAACTGAAGGAAATAAATTACTGCAGTTTCTAAAGAATCACTCATGTATTAGTAAAAGAAATTAAAAATGTATAACCTATTAGGTTCTAGGTCTACGAGTTACACAAACATTCAATACAACATGTCTTGATGTGAAAAAGACAAATATTTACTATATACTTTACCCTTTAATGCAGGCAGATCATTATTTCTTGTCCTTCTCTTGCTGTTTCTTGCACTTAGGGGTTCACAGCTCTTCTGGCTGTCAGGTGTGCAGATCTCTTCCACGTATGGAGACATCCTGGATGGAGTCTTAGTAAGAGAACGTTTATGTTCATTATCTTTTGTGGCTTCAGAGAACCTGAAAGTTAATCAAGACAAAGTCACCTACAAGGAATGCAAGCAATGTCACAAAACAAGGAGCAAGTGTTGCACTGACAATAAAACTGGTAACTAGCAAGGGTATTCACAGGTAACACAAACTGCACTAAAAATACTTTTGACAATTTTCAGCTTGTGAACCATCATTAACAACTGTAAATAACTGTAGAAATTTTAAAGAGGTGACTATCTTGTTATTTCAGAGATCAAATATATTTGGATGCAATAAGCTAACTGCATGCTAAGAACTATGTGCTGCAAATGTAAATAGACATTTTTTAGTATGTGTGTGAGATCATGAAATAAATTTAAAATCTTTTGTGAATTAATAGTCTCATCAATAAAGACACTGAGCTGAAAGCCTGCAAGATATGGAAAAAACAGCAAGTTAATACTGAAGAGAACTGTATTTCAAGCAAGTTCGTGGATGCGCATTTGCATTCCGTAACATTTTTGGACAAATGACATGGAAATAAATTCTGAAAGAGCTTCATTTTACACACTGCTAAAGAATCAAGTAGAGCTGCAGCAGGGAGGAAAAAAACAAGCAACACGAAGTACTAGAGACAGAATGAGTTATTTTTGTTTGTTGTCATTTCCACAGGAAGAAAAAAAAAGGTGGTACAGAGTAATTGAAATAGGATAAATAGGAAGAAAAAGCATGGAAATCAAAATTGCACATTTAAAATAGAAACAAAGCCATCTGGATTGAGTTTGATATTTCAAAGAAGATTCAATCTTGAATGTTCAACAGTCAAATAACTTGATAGGAAAAGTTACGCATCCCATAATGTAAAGAAATAATTAGGCGTTGGTCAATAACAGAAGATGTACTGATCAGTAGAAAAAACTACACACTTAATATTTATTCAGGGACCAAAAAATAGTCCCAGCAATTATTCATTTGGCATGCAGATGTTAGGAAGTGAAGGTTATCAGAAAAATTCAAAGGAATGCAATAGAGACAAGATTAACCTGTCATTAGTAGGGTGATAAGTATAAAATACAGAAAAATCTGAACTTCAGCTGCTGTAGAAAGCCCAGTGAAAGCAAGTGGTTGGTGGCAGGACAACAATTAGAAGCCAGGAATAACAGCAGAAAAAGTGACTTTTGCTGAAAAGCAAGCAAAAGAATACTTTTAAGGACTATAATTTTCAATTCTTTAAGAAGATTTTTTTTCCCTCAAGACCCCAGAAAAATCACTATTAAGCTATTAAAAGAATTACTTATGACAAAAAAAAATTAATCAAGAGATGTTAATATAATTGCTTACTATAGAAATAATGAAGCACGCATAGTATCTCAAATGCAAAAGAAGGTGAGGCTTAATAACATCAGCTCATTTATTTAGCAAGTCATGACAACTTTCTGGCATCAGTTTTGGTTCCCATCTGTTAAAAGCAACCTGCTTATATCACTTGATCACAAGATGAAGCCCTACTGTGCTATGGCCACAGAATATCTGAAGTCTATTGCAAGTTTCACTTGGGATACTACAATACTACATAAGTCATCTCAAAGAGGAATTAATCCAAATATAGTAGATACTATTAAGTTGCTGACAAAACTGAATGCCTACAAAGTAAGAGATGGGAAAATAAAATGGATTGGTTTGCTTAGCAAAATGAAGGCTGGAAGTGAGGCAAATTTCCTCTGCAGTCAAACATCTGAATAAAGAATCAAGATAAAAATATTTACTGTATTGCCTAAAGCTGTCAGTTCTATCTTTCAGCCTAGCTTTCTATCTGTATCTGGGTCATACTTGGAATAAAGTAGTCAAATCACAGTCTACATTTATTATTTTCAGTGTGTCTTATTACATGACTGACAAACAGCTTCATTCTTATTACCTGACATTCATTTTGGTTGTTGAGAGAACAGAAGGATTAAATGAAGATTTCCTACACAAAATACTTTGACTTCCAGTGTTCAGCAAACTCCGTGGTGAGCGTCGGAGGTTACTAGGAGTGCAGGTGCCAGAGAATCTGCCTCGTTCTGGATTAGGGCTGAATAAGAGTGTTTTGCCACTGGTGTGTTTCTAGGGAAAAGCAAATCAGGAGTCAGCACAATCTGCTAAACATTTTTCCATTGAGAAGATAATTAAGCAGCAGGGAAATTATAATATATATGACACCCATACAGTCTCTTATGCTTTAAAAGGGAATGGGAGGGAATTGTTTTAATCTTAAGATTTTATACAATTCATCTGAAAACATATACTGTGGAAGTGCTACAAAGTGCCTTTTTCTGGTGCCCTTAAATGATTTAGGTTTTTTTGGCCAGCATCTGCCAAAAATCACTTCTCTTAAGCACACATTCACACACAGTATGCCTTAAAGAAAGAGAAATGTAATGTTCAGAAGTTCAGTGTTACTATTTTGGTAAATCCTATGATATCCATCTATTCACTGATACGTTGCTGTTGGTTTTATAAATGCCCAGAAAGAGGCTCCCCTTGCAGGTGTCATATGTGCACAACTCAAAGCCCCTGGAAGCTGCATACATTACCTACTAATGGAGTCATATGTAGTCACTGGACAAAGGTTCTTTAAGGCACAAAAAACACCTCTGTTTAATCCCTGTTTTTTTGGAAAACAACCCATCCCCTATGTTATGTTCTGCTGCAATTCAAAAACACCTGTTACCAGAAGTTCCAGGAGACTCTTTCACAAGTAATTGTGAGTTACATTTTACACAAGATTATCAAACTACTTGTTGTTTCCTATAACTATTTATAACCATACTCAGTTAACAAATAAGTTACATAAAACTACAGAGAAAGTGCATAAAGCAGTTATGTAGGACTCCAACCATAGTGCTCCATCACGTATGCGCAAGGCCAGCTTCTTAACCGCTCTAAAGCAGCTCTGTGGAAAACTTAAGGAGGGCCTTTGTGGAAATAAAAATATGGCAACAATGAAAGTCTTCGTTTGTTAGCACCTACCTTGGCTTCATTGAGGGAACTGCTGCAGTTCTCATACATTTTTTTCTTCCTCTCAATGTAATCAGCAATGGACTCCATTTTCTTGAAGTGAGCTTCATGGAGCCTTTTAAAGTCTAAGTTCCAAAAGTAATAAGAGTTGTGCATCTGACAGACTCCTAAGGAAGCTTGCTACTTCACAGAAAGTTTACAACATCTACTGTTATGGCCTCAAATATCATAACATATTCCTCTAAATAAAGTTGGGGTACCCACAGGTAACTGAATACTATGCAACGTCTACATCAGCAACACATGGATGCTCAGGAGAACTCCATAGTCTCCAAAGGAAAAAGATAAATACTTCCACTGTCAATAATAAAGAAAGAGTATTCTACAAAATGATGAACTGTTATCACAACTGTAGTACTGATTAAGTAAAACCTAAAAAAGTGGGAACTGGGAGTCAGAGCACACCTTCCTACTCTTTGTTATTTTGAAAACTCCAAGTGTAAGTGTTATATCTAGAAGACACCAAATAGACAAGTGGAAGATATACATCAGTGTAACTTTTTCAAGCTCTGGGCTTGTTTTGTTTTTTGTTTTGCTTTTTAAAGAGAAGACAGTTTCTTGGTTGATAGAAACTAGATTTGTATTTTGGCAAAACCTGCAATCCTACAATTATCTCCCTTCACACAAAGGCAATACTTTCTATTTTTAAGCATGGAAGATTATCTTACTTGGTGTAGTAGCTTTCAGCCCTGTTTTCCCAGACTTAGATGCACAACCAACATACAAAGGAATCTTCTGTCCTGCAGGATGAGGATCACCTGGTATAGTAAGAGTAAACAAAATCATTACAACTACTAGAGAAATATTCCAACATCACTATAGCCCTTTATTAAAGCACTTGTGGCAAAACATAACTCATCTCCTTGAAGTGGTATAGATTTTCAAGAAATAAAAACCTCATTTAAAGTAGGTAAGTCTTAAGTATCATTTAAAAGGCTTTTGAGATATGTCAGTAAAAGCATGTCCTGATGAACTACAAAGCGAAGCACAAATTTGAGTCACACCAGGTTATTTTCTCTCAGTACTGAAGTATTTCACAGGAGGTGTTAACAAGAGAACTTTGCTTGTAGTAAGCAACTACAACTCACGAGTCTTTATCCAGTTGATAAGCTAATGTTTTAAATTATTGATAACTGAAAAAAGAAACATCTTTTAGCTAGCCTTTCTGCCACCACCTTAAATATATGCAAGAGCCTAAACTTTTTAATCATCGTTGCCTTCAGGTCAGTACTATGACAAAACCAACACACAGAGTTTTCCACTAAATGTAATTATAGTCTTTCCTCTATTACACAGCTATCCTACCATCTGAAATTACAGTTGAGAGGAAAAAAATAAAAAATTAAAGCAATATAGATGCTTATGGTTGTGGTTACGGAAAGAGATGAACACTTTCAAGTGTCAATGTGAAATTAATTTTAGTACTGCTTCAGCCAAAACATTTTTTTACATATTTTATTTGCTTTTAAAAGAAGCTTCACAGAAAACTTTCATTTTCTTAATTAGCTTTAAAGTTACATATAACCTTTAAATTCTATCAAACAGCAAAGATACCCATGGTACATCACAAGGATTGTTACACTTAACCTAACAGGAGGCAAAAATGGGACATGTCCAATAATTTGTTGTGAATCTATCAAACAAGATAGGGAAGACAAACTTAACTCCTTTCTAGTTCAGCTGCATGCACAAAGGAGTGGAGGAGAAGCAAGCCCATATTTTTAGCAGCATCATGCTCTAAGGTCATGAAGATCTGTCAGATACAAAAGCGATCCACCTTACACTGCTTAACAGCATCTGCATGTTAAAAAATTAACAAGGGTGTTGTCTACATATCTTTTTATACTAGCTCTACCCCCAAGAATGCAGTGAAAAAGCCCATTCATCCAAAGAAAAAGAAGAATTAGTAATGATGCGTTTTCCTTTTTTTTTTTTTTTGTTGCTATTTGACTCCTTTAAAAAGTGGCATCTCAGGTGTATTCCAGAAGGCACTGATCCTAAACGAAGAAGCAGGACGATCAAATACTCTCAGACTCCTTCACTGAAAACATTTGCAGACAAAAAATAACCTAAATAGTAAATCTGAAGTACTACAAAGCTTATGTTTATAGAAGTTTTTACTTACATTCTGCTCTAGTGCTTTTAGAAGAAGTCCTCTTTGGCTGCTTCTTCTCAGCAGTAGCTGTGCTTGGATTCTCATTAGCTCTTTTTTTAGTAACTCGTTCCACATTTTGGAATACCATCTTTTCCTTTTCACAATCACCCTGAGGCACTTCATTCTCTTTTGTTTCAGAATGTCCCTACAGTTAAGCATACTTCATTAGACTCTTTGTTCCAACTGAATATAAGAAAAGAATCTTGTTCTGAGAGCAGCTGGTCAGTGAAACGGGTGTCCAGAGAGGTGGTATAGCAGCCACACAGAAGAGCTGTACAAAAATCAGCTCACATAAAGCCCCAAGCATTGTGATCTAACCTTGTAGCTGACCCTGCTTCCAGGGAGAGAAAGAGCAAGAGGCTTTCTGAAATGCAACTTAAGTTAATATAGATAATTATAAATACTTCCTAGATTAAGGCCTGAACGTTTCTAACATTTTAGCACAATGTTGCTTCTATTAACAAAACTATTTTCAAGAAAAAAAATCCATTCAATTGCTATGTTACTTTTGACTATCATAGCTTTAGTTACCACTGGCTTTCATTTACTCATGCTGCTAAAAAGACCAACACCTCTCATATCACCATTTCCCTCTGATTCCCTACCATTAAGTTTTCTGCACAATTCTGACATCACCCACTCACCCACCCAAATTTTGTAGCTGCCTAATATTCAGATGTATACTATGATGAACTAGTGAAATCGATCTTACACCCAGTGGAGGGAATCATGCATTTCCTCAGAAGGATTTCTTTTCTTAGACTAATAACATAAGTCATTTCTGTTTATTATGGAGTAGCTCACAGTCTACTTAGACAAGATCTGTGGTATAAAGTACAAGTACTTGTTTTCTGTACACCTGCACACAAAAGATGAAACCCTTACCTGCTAACCTGGTAGCAGAATTAATCAAGCTTTTTTTTTTTTTTTGTCTCCAGTTTTATCTCAAGACACAGAAACACAGAAGAAAGCAATACAAATTACCTCCATCTCAGCAGAGGGCCCAGTATTTTCTTCACTGTTACTAGTTTCCATATCAGAGCTCTTCTTTTTCCTGGTTGCTTTCTTTTCCTTACATCTTTTTGTGACAAAACGTGATGGATTAGGCATAAATTCCTGCTGACAGCTCAGTTCAGAGTCCATTGAAGGAGACACAGTTTTTTCAGAATTCTATATCAGAAAAGTACCATAACATGGAATGTACATACAGCAGATAGGTACTCTAAAGGGAGAACTTCAACATTATTATTGGAAAAGACACTTCACACAGATGAAAGCAAGAGTACACTTAAGTAGTACAGTAACTAACTTGGCAATATCTAGATTTTCTGAAACACCTTAACTACACCTCCATGGAAAAGCTACATAATAAAATAATAAAATAATTGTAGTACTTATATTCAGTAAGCAATTATTTAAAAGACAAGTAAACAACCATTAAGTATTTGAGATCTGACTTGAATGAAGCTGCTATCCTCCAAGATCTGTGAAAATTATCCTACAGAAATATACACATACAAGCCACAATTCCCTCATGAATTTAGAGAAGTAGATTATAAAGGCACCATTTAAAATGAGTTGTTTTAGAAAAAGTAGACACAAATTTATCAAAAGCATAAAAAAGCATTAGAGGTGATATTTTGGCTCATAGAAAAATTCATAAGGAAAGCAACTAATATAAATGAGTAAAAGAAACACCAATTGTATTGAATCATAGAATGGTTTGGGTTGGAAAAAATCTCAAGGATCAGCAGGTTCCAACCCCAGTGCTACAGGCAGGGTTGCCAGCTGCTAGATCAAGTACTATTAGATCAGATTGCCCAGGGCCCCACCCAACCTGGCCTTGAAAATCTCCAAGGTCACAGTATCCACAATGTCTCTGGACAATCCTTTCCAGCACTTCACCATTCTCTCAGTAAAAAAAACTTCCCCAACATCTAATCTAAATCTCCCTTCTTTTAGTTTATGACCACTCCCCCTTGTCTTATCACCATCTGCCCATGTAAAAAACTGACTTCCCTCATGTTTATAGGCTCCCTTTGAATACTGTAAGGCCACAATGAGGTCTTTCCACAGCCTTCTTTTTTGCTTTTGTTATAACGTCAGTGCAAGTGAATCGTAAAGTGCTGTGGGATTAGTTAGTATGAAATATAAAATTAAGAAATTTAAACGTTAGTGGTTACAGGGAATAGTTTTGTATTGATACTAACAGATACACTTCAGGCAGAATTAATGCCTTCTGTTGTTTAAGAGGGCATGTCACATGTTCACACGTACATCTATTAATACATGAGTGCATTAAACTAAAAGCACCGTTGAAAAAGTACTTTTACTACAATTAACATCACTAAAGCATCCGTTCTGAAAAAGAAGGGCTGCTTAATCATCTATTACCGTATTTTCATTTTCTTGCATTCTTCCTTGGAAGTGTTGCTTCAGCGCTTTCAACAGTTTATCGGCCTGAAGAGAAACCAAAGCGACAGATGAACTAAACGCTGCCTGAGGATATCGCCCAAACCCAGAAATGGCTCGTGCTGGCCCGGCCGCCCCGCCCAGTGCCAAGCGGACCGGGCCACAGCGCTGAGGCTACTCAGCGTGGCCGCCCCCGGACACGCCGCCCGCTCCCGCCGCCCTCAGCGCCAAAGGGACGCGGCGCCCTCGGCGCGGCGGCACCGCGGGGACGACGGTACCGCGTTCCCCCACCGCCGCTCCCAGCACCCCACTCACCCGGAGGTTGGCCCTCAGGCCGGCGGCCTTGGCGACCTGCTGCAGCTCAACGTACTTCAGCGCGTCTAACGACTGAAGCTGCGAGGAGAGCGCCATCGTTACTCCGCTACCAACCGCCGCTCTTCGAATCTCGCGCTTAACCGACACGCAGCGCTTTGCTCCCGCCCCCACCGTTCGAACTTGCCCGTCGCGGCCGGCCATTGGCCGGGCCAGGTGAGGGAGGCGGGCTTACGGGCACGAAAATCGGCCAATGGCTGCTGTGGCCATCAGCGTGCTGTTTTTCAACCGCGATTGGCGCAAGCTGCTCGGAAAATCCCCGCCCTCTCCTGCTTGATTGGGCGCCAGAACGAGGCGCCGCAGCCCACTTCCCAATGACCTCGCGCAGCGAGGATTGACGTCTCTATTGTCCAATAGCAGCGCTCCCATGGCGAGACCGAGAAGGCGGGCGGTGCGCTTCAGCACCGGGCGGGAGGAGATGGCGGTGCGGAGGCAGCTGCGGCGATTCTTCGAGGAGCCGCAGATTCGCGGCACGATCGTGGTGGAGCGGCCGCTCTCCTCCGAGCCTCCTCCGGCTCCTCCTCCTCCCGCTCCTCCTCCGACTTCAGAGGTGCCGCGGTGCTACGAGCTGCGACCGGAGGACTGCGCCGTGTTCCAGTGCCGCGGGTGCTGGGCGGTGCTGGGCGACTCGCTGCATCTGTGCGCGCTGGAGGAGCAGCGCCTCGGCCTCGTCGTCTGCCTCAGTCAGTGCTGCGGGCCGGGCCGGGGCTCGTTCCGCTTCCGCACGCTGCTTCTCCACGCGCTTCTTCTCTCTCCACAGGAGTCACCAGCAACGTGCTGTGCGAGGAGGAGCTGATGGTCGGCCTGGAGGGAGCCCTGACGGGATGGTGCGTAGCAGCGCTCTTACGTCACCTTGGAGTCTCACAGCCTACAGCGTTCTGTGCGATGCGCTGTGGATTTAATTTCTCCTTTCAACTTTGATCGTTACAGAGGTTTTCCACGCCTAATTGTTTACATCTACGCTTGATCTGTGTCGTTTCTGTAAGGCCAAAGCGTTAATACGTGTTTTGCTGTCCAAATAGAAGCAAGGATCCGTGTCCGCTGACAAGCGAGAAGCAGTATCCGTGGTTTCAGAAGCTTTTGTGTAATAACAGAATTGTTCTGCTTTTCCTTTTAGTGCTTACAACACGCTGTCTTGTCAGTCGTGTGGCTCAGTTGTGGGCTTTGTTCTCTATTCCGCCTTCAGAGACCTGGCCCATCTCCGAGGCTTCTTCTGTTTCTTCAAGAACAGCATCTTCTGGTGGGTGCTCTGCTCTGTGTTTTGATGGTCAGGAATTTCATGGCAATTTGCAAGTTATTCCAGCACGAACACAGCTAACACACACCTAACAAAGGCTGCTTTATTTTCAACTGAGAGCGTCACTGTGGGATTTTAATATTCTGTTCTCACTTTGTGTTGTCATGATTCCATTATACTTTCGGAGTCTCCTCACGTCGAAGTTTAAATTTAGCTATTTGTGGTACTGAGATCTCCGTCAGTTCCAGATCCACTTAACTAACGTCAGATATCAAAACAGGTCTGCGATAGATGGACCTGATTATAGAATCCCAGAATTGTTCGAGTTGGAAGGGGCCATCTCATCATCTACTCCAACTCCCCTGCTATGAACAGGGACACCTACAGCTTGAGCAGGGTGCTCAGAGCCTGGTCCAGCCTGACCTTGGATGTCTCCAGGGACGGGGCACCACCTCAGCTCTGGGCAACCTGTTCCAGTGCCTCATTAGCTGGTACTGAGGGGATTATATGATTTGGAAGTAAACGTGTTATGGTTTTTAATATTTTCATTATCTGTGGAGTACTTTAGAGAAGAGTTTTATTTGCTTTAAAATCAGCTTAAATAGTCTGTCTAAATTAATGCAACTACTTGTTTTCAACCGTTTTTCTTGTTTTTCACATTCCCCATTTGTTTTCCAGTTATCTCTTAAAAAGCAAAATGATTATAGAAGCTTCTAAGGTGAAATTTCCTGCTGTGACCCTAAAGGATCAAATAGAGAAAGTAAGGTTTCCGCATGACTTTATATGAAAATAGCAAGAAATTTTTGAGATCAATATTTTTGGCTAATTAAAAATACTTCATAATATTACTAGATCTGCAACACATATCAAGTTCTAGCTAATTTTCTGACAAAAGTGTGGTGTTTAGTTTCTTTTTTTAGTGAATGTGTATGTGTAATTTTGCTACCTAAATGTTGTCAAGAGGGAAGGGTACTTCTCTACATGTTGAAAACAAAACAGAAAATCCTTTTTAAATAAAGCTTTTCCTAAATATTGCTAGCTGTGTTGTTCCTAGAATTGAAAAGGCACTGTGTTGCCTACTACAGCACTGTTGAAGAATAAAAAACATGTATACAAATTTGTCAAATTGAAAGGGATTCCATTATTTTTATATGGGAACTGATACTGAAATGCACAAATGTCATCCAGGCATAAGTTCCCCTGAAGCTGAGATAGATCATTCTGAGGTAAAAGTATGAGTGCTTCATTGCAAACACACGTGGGATTTTGGAAAAGTTTTTATGTTGATTAAAGTGGTGTTAGGCTCTAGTCTCTGCTTTTTAAAATATATCTTGCAGATATATCTTAAAAGATGTAAAGATAAGATAAAAGCTATAAAGATATATCTTGCCTACAGTGCTTCTTATGCGTTAACTTTAACCCCAAACTCTAGAAATGGCATTTTTGAAGGGTTGTCCTAAACTGATGATGACAGTCTCCAGATCTTGTAAAACAAAATCACTGGCTATGTAAAAACATGTCATGAGTTAACTAGAAGAGTTGCTGAAGCGTTGCTGTGGTCAGGGCAATCTTTTCAAGTGGATGTTTCCATGCATCTCTGATACTAGTTATGCTGATTCACAATAATTTCTTTCTAGCACAGCTTTCTGATTTGAGTCCTGGTTAGTTTTGGCTTTTCTAGACATAGAACATAAAGAAAGTCCAGCATCACTTTCCATTTTGAAAGTTATCTGTGCTTTAGGCACTGAAAGTGGGATGCATATTATTAAACATCCAGACCATTTTTCTCTAATTTTACAACTCCCATCTCTCTTTTTTCTTCTTTTTTTCTAGCTGAAAGAAAGCCTTGTGATGGCACACATGCGCATCGAATTGCTGATGAAGAAGGTGGAGCAACTGAAACAAAATAATGTGGCAGAAAACAGAGCTGTGCATCACATGCAATTGTCCTAATGCCAGGATACGCAGTAGTCGATACCAAGAAATAACATGCCATTTTGAAGAACTACCAGAGTCGTTTCTGCAGCTCTGCTGAGTTTCATCATCTAACACGAACGATTTACTCATGAAGCACATAATTTTCTAAGACTGAACTTTGATAGTGATTCTCCAAAATGACTTCAAGAGGGTAGAACAGTTTTTGCAACAATAAAATCAGGCCTATAGAACCATACAAGACACACTATCATAACCATGATTGAGAGGAAGTGTTGTAATTTAAGGATCTTAAGGAGTTGTAAAGTTTTTGTTCTATCTTTTCATATATATAGAATATTCATGGCAGCTAGCTGTTTGTCAGGTGGTTCATTAGCTACATCTGGTATGTGAGACTTCTGAATAGCCTCCCAATTAATTCTTTGAAAGAATTTGCTTGTTATATGTGGCCTGCAAAAGGAGCAAGTTAGCATTTCCCAGAAGCTGCAGTCGCACTTGGTGACTACATGGTGTAAAGCTAACTGGAGCATGAGATTATAGATTTCAAATTGAGGTACAATGCTTGTTTCTGCCAAAGTCATCTGAAAATGCGGTCACATGGCTGCATGGATCAAGTTCTGTCTGCTCCATGAATCTTACGCTGTGAGCAGTTGCCTTCAATAAATTTGAGCCTTTTTTTATTAAGACTTCTGGATTGTCTCAGTCTGTTCTGATCAAGCAGTAACATAGCCTTGTTAAAGAGCTGTTCTGCTAGGAAGGAAGCAGATCTCTATTAAATTCCTCAACTGCGAGCTACAGAAATAGTTATTATCCATGTTTTACAACTTGCTTAAGTGCACAAATGCAGTACTTTTCAATGGCAGCTAAATTTGGGTTATCAAAACACCTGAAGGAAGTGTTACTCACTCTTAAGATCTGCTTCACTGCCTATAATAAATGTTTTTTTTTCAGTGTGTGCCCTAGCATGAACCCTTAACTGGAGAACTGTTGTTCTCAATCGCTGTCACTTTATACTCATGTAAAGTTTGGAGTCATATTTGACTGCTTCATTATTGAAAACAAATAATTTTTTTAAAGACTTAATAACTTAAATTACATTTAAAAAACTGCTTGTCTTTGACTGGAGTTCTGTCACTAAACACACCTTGTGCAAACACCCTTCCCATCTCAGGTGTTTTCCATTATGTAACTTCACCTTTGCATTACTTCTAAGTGGCAGTTATATCTTGTTGCATCAGTCTCTTATCAAACATGATTGATAATGGGACTACTCACTTTTGCCCTTCTATTCTGTTGGGTTTTTTTTCGTTGACTTTTTTTTTTGTCATAAAGCTTTACATTTGTACTGTGTATAATATAAATAGTACTATGTTTCTCTTGCTTCATTTAGCTAAGAATCCACCCCTAAGAGAAAAAAAAGCAGCCGTTAGTTACATTTTTATATATTATCTTTACAGTTGTATTTTTTTTTTATAAAAACAATGAGATTCACAAATATGCATTATACAGACCTTGTGTAGTATCATGTGAGTTGTAAGCTCACTTTTAAACTGCATTTGGCTTATCTTTTGAACTGGGAAGACCAGCTCTACTGAGTTGCTGTGTGGTACTTTGTGTCTACTTGTCAAAAGACGTTTTTTCCTGACACTGACCACCTGACTGACCTGCTGGCACTCACAGCAGTACAGTTTTTTTAACCTGTTTTGAAAAGCAAACCTTAATTTAAACAAATAAAATGCAACTGTATTGTCAGCAGTCTGCAACAAACATTTACTAAGGTAGCAATTTAAACCAAAAAGGCTCCAGTTTAAGTGATGTTTGAACTTTTCTCCCTGAAAGATTCAGCTTTCAATTTCATCCTGTCCCAGGCTCAAATTCTGCTGGAATCTACAGTGAATATGAATATACAGTTTTCTAGTGTGGAACTAAATCTCTAGCTAGGTATCTTGAGATGTGTAGCCAGGGCCAGGCTGGCTCAGGATAGATGGATTCTTTATTTAAACAAATACCCACTTGAAAAGCAAGTCTCATGGTCAGGCCACAGCTATCTTTATTCCTAAATGAGCT